GTCAATAAGGTTATCATCTTTGCTTTATTGGACTGACATATGCCTGCAGGGCCCTTAAAGGATTTCAAAGTGGTGCCATTGTTGTCATTGCAGTCTCTAAACACCCCATCCTCCTTGGACAATCTAGGCTACCCCAAATGAGCTACTGTTAGAATGTAGTTTAATAACACTAACTGTAGAGTTGTTATTGGTTTTTATTATTTATTTAATGGTGGTGGCTTTTTTTTTTTTGCGTGGGGGCGGGGTTGGAACAATTGGCTTGGATTGTCTATCCAATTATTTTGACATTGTACCCCAATCAAGTTATTTTTTTCCTCTCCTTCCATTGATCCCATAGAAAATATGGGAGGCAGAGCTTTCAAAGGAGGCAGCTCTTTCAACATAGGAGATCATTTACTGACTCAGGCATGGCCAAACAAACACAAAATCTGTTAGGTTCATGAAGCAGCACCAAACCTAGCATGAGTAGGTACATTGCCAAAGCAAATGGTCCACCATTTGCTTAGCGTTTCAGTATAGATGACATAGGTTTGAAGCTTAATACCATGGTTGTGCAAGTGTTCCCAGTGAGAGCCTTGTCTAGGCAGCCAATTGCCCAAGTGCTAAGGCTCTTGGAGGGTGAGATGGACCATAATTGCCACGCAAGTTGGGCCCCCAAATGGAATATCTTGGGTGGAAAGGGATATCTCAATGAGAAATCCACTAGGTATCGTACCAAATAATCCTGTTTGGTAAATGAGAGTTGGGTGAAATGAATTCTGACCCGAGGCTTATTAGCATTATACATTTTGTTCATCACACTTCCTGCACCTAAGGTTTCTTTGAAAAGAGGACACCCTACCCTTCCTTCCCATTTGCACCAAACATTATTGAATAGTGATGTCTAGTTCATATGTCAATCTTATGCATATCAGGTGGCCACACACAAACATGTGTGTAATTATGTTCCTTTTCTGTTGTTTTCTTTCAAGAAACTTGTGAGTTCCATCCAACACAAATTCCAATCCTAGGGTTCACAGAAACCAGGTCAAGAGTAAAGAAAGACCATGTTGAGAGATGCATACCATGGTTTTAAAACCAACTTCTTCATTTGGTGGAACTAAGAAGATTCTTGGTGGGATATGGTTCAAAGCAGTGTTTTAAAAATCGGCGAGTCGCAACGGACTCGCCCGAATTGACATGGGAATCGGTCATCGTGTGTTGATTCCTATGTAAAACGGTGTATCGCCCGGTTCTAGAGGGGAATCGTCGGTTTTGAACAGTGAACCGCCCGTATGATGTCACAGATCGGCAAGAATCGCCTGTATGACGAGGTCACAAGATCAGCCAATCCATCACATGACATCATGCTGATGACATCACAAATCGTCCGCCTCCATGGGCCCAGGCACGTGGACAAATCATGGGCCTCCCGGGCCCCGACGTGCGGACAAACAGGAAGCCCCCATTTTAACCAACCCTTTGCAACGGGGGCTATTGCAAACCTTTATATACACATTTTTTGTCCCACATCTCTTTGATGTGGGACAATTCGCAATGCCCAACATTGCACCAAATCCCCACGGTCTTCTCCCTCTAAGTTAATGTTAAAAGTTCCTCTCTCTCTAAAACGCACTAACGTTCTTCTCTCTCTATCTTTAACAAACACAAACGTCTCTCTCTATCTTTAACAAACGCATGCGTCTCTCTCTAACCACATACCAAAAAAAAAAGTTACCTTTCCAAAAAATAATTTTTTGTCAAAAAAATAAAACAAAAGTTATATTGACAAAAAAATAAAAATTACATTGACAAAAAAAAGTTACCTTGGCAAAAAAATAAAAATTATAACAATAAAATAAAATTACCTTGACAAAAAAGTAAAAGTTACTTGGGCAGCACCGTCTTCTTATTTTTCTTGTCAAAAAAAAAAAAAAAGGTAATACAACAAGTATTTATTAACAAAAAATAAATAAAAAATAGGGAAAATATCTCCATGGACCCCGTTTTCAACTTGCATTTCTTCTTGAACCCAAAAATTCAAAACCTATCTGCTAACCCCCCAAATAACTTTATCTATTTTTATCCCAACTTTTAACCCAAACAAATTGAAAAAGACTTCTTTTTTTTAACTCTCTCTCCTAGCGTGTTTCAAACTCTTTCCTCATTATTTCTCTCTCTAGACTGTCCAGGAGCTCACCGGAAACCTTGCGTTTTGGCCGCTTTTTTATATCCATGAACGCTGTGAAATGAATCTCAAGCATTCGACTTCATCAGCATCCTGCAGCTGCTCTCCTCCTCCTAAGAAGATTAACATCAGGCATGGTAATGGAGGAGGAGATAGTGAGTGATGATAAGTACTGTCAATTCCAGGCAGCCATAAGAAGAACAACAACATCACAACAACAACAATTGATGGAGCATGGGAACTATGAAGAAGCAATTCAAGTTGTGAACCACTTCCTCTCTTCCTCCTCCAATCCTCTTCTTGATTTAGGAATTGACCTAGAGCTAGCCCATGCCTCATTTTCAGGCCTCATCTGCTTGGGTGACATGCACTTTGCCCTCTCTCACTATGACGATGCTATAAGCTGCTACACCTCTGCATTGGCCCTTCAAAGGCAAACACTCGAAGACTCTGACTCTCGCTTGGAGATAGTTCAGGGGATCGAGAGGGGGAACTCTTTGCTAGGGCTGAGGAGGCAGGACGAGGTTGCCGAGATCGCCAAGGGCGTGGGATTCTCCTTGCAAATTCGATCAAGATTCTGGCCAAAATGGTGGCCGGCCAAAAAGATTCAGTCTGTGAAACCCTAAACCAAAAAATTGTGGGTTCTCCCTGCAAATCCCGATCAAGATGCCAAAATGGTGGCCAGCCAAAAAGATTCAGTCTGTGAAACCCTAAATCAGAATTTGTGGGTTCTCCCTGCAAATCTCGGTCAAGATTCCTGCCCAAATGGTGGCCGACCAAAAAGATTGAAATTTGTGGGTTCTCCTTGCAAATTCCAGTCAAGATTCCGGCCAAAATGGTGGCTGGCCAAAAAGATTGAAATTTGTGGGTTCTCCCTGCAAATCCCGGTCAAGATTCCTGCCAAAATGGTGGCCGGCCAAAAATGGTTTCCGGTGAGCAGGTGAGGTGGGAGATAGAGAGAGAGAGGGGTTTGGGAGGTTGATGGGGGAGAGAGAGAGGGATCACGTTAAGAGAGAGAGGGATCACGTTAAGAGAGAGAGGGGTTCAGAAACCAGGTCTTTTCTAGGTTTGTTTGGGGGTTAGGAGATATAATAGTGTGAACTTCTATGTAGTAAGATAGGTTTTGCAACCTAAGGTCAATGGAGAAATGAAAGTTGAAAATGGGGTCTATGGAGATATTTTCTCTAAAAAATAATACAACAAGTATCATGTTTTTCAAGCACGCATTTGAGCTGCAATTATTCTAGAAACCTAAACAAATTTGACTTTTGAAACTTAAAAAATTAGATTTTTGAAAAATTAAAGTGTTATTTCGAAAATAGGTACACATTCTAATAATTTCTACATTGATTACGAAATCTTTTATTTTATGTATTAATTTATTTGCATTATATATTATGTAATGTAATTTTTCTTCTTACAGTTGTCAATAATATATTTTAAATTAGATGATATTGTAAGATATTTTGGATTTGTTATTATTTTTATAATAAAATAATTATAAAATGTAAACCAACAATTTCAATTTCAGTATATAATATTATAGTTAGTTTGGTTGTAATAATTTTGGATTATAGCTAGTTAGGTTGTAGTAATTTGGGTTTTTTTTTTAGCGGATTAGGGTTTTCTGCCAATTCAAGATTTTTGTGGCTATTTTTTCATCAATTTAATCCATTCTTTATTGTAGTCCATGTACAATTTAATCCATTCTTTATTTTAATCCATTCTTCATCCGTGATAATTCTATGAGTTTTTTTTTGTGTGATGTAAATTTAATGGTTAACATAAGTTCATACAAGGAAAGAACATCTCAATATCCGCATATTGATGAAAAAAATGAAAGTTAATAATGTAGTACCCTATTTCTTATTGGATTCCTAAAAACAACATTTATAATGATTTTTTAATAATTTTTTTTAAGGTTTATTTAGACCGATTCAACCGATTCCCGATCCGGATGGATTTTTTGGGTGCCCGATCCGGGGCACCGATCTGTTTTTTAAACCACTGGTTCAAAGCCATTGGGCCTAAACTAGGTTTGCAATGTTGAGTTAAGCATCTGGTGTTAATCATCTTTATCAATTTGAAAGCTTAACTTCGATGACTACTCAGGGAAGCAAAGCTTATTGGTGTTCATTAGCTCCTTCCAAAGAAAGGTTTATTATTATTATTATTACTATTTTAAAGAAAGGCAAATGGGTTGAAATTATAATATGTGATGATCCTTTGAATGTCCATGACTTCAGGTGGGCTGAAGCTCATATTTTTCTTGATAGGCATTCGGATTTATGCATGGTGCATTCATGAAGCACATGCCTGTTGAAGATGACTCTCTTGGACAGGACGTATTGAGTTTGAATCTTGATAAGAGGGTAATGATGGCATAGCATTAATTTTGTGGAAAATGTACTATATGCCCGGTCCTTCATAAATGCCCGCATATTATGCAGATCTATGGGATGCCCCTCATGGCAGCAGGCGTTAAATATAAAATCTCAGCATGCATCCTTAGACATCAGGGGCCTTTCATTTTGTATTTTATGTTATGGTGTATTAGGGGTATCCTCCCCTTTTTGTAGAGGTTACATTTTGTTCACCTTATGCCTTCAGCAATACAGTCTATAGTCATTGTGTACTCTATATTAACTTCCAAATGAAACTATTATTTGATGTAAGAACGGAGTTCCTCTCATCTGGCTTATAATCTTCTTTTATAACTAAATCATGTCATAGAGATACCTCATAAGCAGTTTTACTTTGTAAATCTTTTGATCTAAACATAATTTTAGCTTTCATACTTTGCACACTCTGAAGCTCTTTTATCCATTTTCAGGTTTGCTATTTTTGCCTGAAGTGCGTGGGGATGAGAACATCTGCATCCTCTTGGCGTAGCATGTCCAATGAAGAGATCTCACTCTTGCATGAGCCTATTACTGCACATTATGCTTGTAATGAATCATCTCCTGGGTCTTCAGGCCTTGATAGAAGTTTTCGCTTTTGTAGCGTGGAATGTGAAGAACATTCAAAGGTTTTTCAATTGGAATGCAGCTGCATGTTTCTTTGCTTATAGTAAAATGCATGCATAATAGAGTCCTGATTTGGTTTAATTTTAATACCATGCCATGTCATTAGAAAAGGAACTTAATTTTCCTTCTGGGGATTGTTTCTTCCAACTTCAAGTTATATTTTCACATAAAGTTTGGGTGCCTAAATACTTAAATACCTACATGCATTTGTCCATACATACATGCAAAACGTGGATGAATATATACGTTATACGTTTGTTTGTAAGTACATTTTTGACATATTTTACTTCAGGAATATGAATATTCACACACATGCATAGATACAACATATGTCTACAATTGAATAGGCCTTGCTTGCCTATTGATTGGTAACTTAACAACTCTTATCAAGTCAATGCTGCCCAACCTCTCAATGTACTACATGTTGTTGTTTTAAGCACCTCATCAATTGAACAAAATAGATAAAAACTTGAGAATATTTTTGTGGGAAGGATCAGAAGAGAAGAGGATCAACTGGTATCCTCGGGAAAAGCAACAACTAGTGTTTCAGAAAGCGCTACGCAGCACCTAGGTGGCCGGGGTAGCAGCCGCCTAGGCGGGTGCCCAGGGATATCTGCTTTTTTTGGGCACCTAGGCCTGGGCGATGCGCCTAGGCCCCCAAAACCACCTAGGTAGGTGCTGGGCGGTCCGCTTTTTGAAACATTGGCAACAACGTTTAGAAGTGGACGGTTGGGAAGTGGGAAGATTAAAGAAACTAAGAAAACATTGTTAGCAAAGTGATGGTGGAGAATGACGTCACAAGGGGAGCATCTGTGGAAGCAAGTAGTAAGGAATAAGTATAGCTCGGATGGACGGGGTTGGTTTATTATGGATTTTTAAGTTAGAGGAAGAATGTCAAGGGTGTGGATTGGTATCAATGATTGCAGATCCCTGTTTCTCAATAACATCAGAATCAAGACTGGAAAGGGTAAAAAGAATATTTTGCTGGAGAAGTGGTTGGGGTATAGCGTGGTTGGAAAACAATAACCCATACTTTTTGTGCTTGCTGGGAACAAAACAGTCTCTGCTGCATAAGTTGTACGTGGTTAAGGATTAAAAACCAAACTTTAGGAAAGGTATGAAAGATCATGAAATATTGGAAATGGCCATGCTGCTGCAGCAACTAAAGCAGACAATAGTTCTAGCGAACAGTGAGGATGAACTAATCTGGGGCCCCAGGTAATCAAGGCAGCATCTCAGTTAAACAGGACTCTGCCTGGAGTGGAGGAAACAAACCAGATCTGCAATATGTGGAAATTGCTCGGCCCTACCAAAATTCAAGCTTTTCTTGGCTAGTGATGTTAGAAAATGTGCTTACCCATGATCATCTGGTGAATCGAGGTATGGTAATTCCAAACATATGCTTAAGGTGTAAGATGGATGCTGAATCAGTTGAACGCAATTTGTGATCTTTCTTGTTAGATCTGTTTGGATTCGAATTGGTCTATTCTGATTCGTTATCAGCACCACTAAGACAGTGGACCATCCCATCACTACCTAAGCCAGGACTTCCTAAGCAAGGACAGTGTATTACTGTGCAAGAATGAAGAATTTGTGCTCCTTTAACTGAGATATTGACCTCAAATGCACCTGCTATATGCGCAGTAGGGACACATGTAGTTTTTTAACTGCAGTGGATGTTGTTTAATGAACATGAACTACTAAGATAACGATTGATTGAAAGAATGGACTCTAATAATGCTGCTATATGGGCCTATGGATTTTATTATATGGGCCTATGGATTTTATTTATTTTACATCTTATACAATCTAAAAAGACTTGATCAGAGAGATTTGTCAATCTCTGTTTGCTTAGGAAAGCAGATGCATCTTTAAACCACTGCCCATGCCGATAAGCCTACAAGGTAAATGAGCAAGTTGTGTTTGTGATGTAGTTTGCATGGATATTAGAAATCATAGGTGGTGGCTTGCCATTTAATGAGCAGCACATTTTCTTGTCCACTGGACAATTTGTTTCAAACATCCCATGTATTTGCATCAATGAACAACTAAAGTAAGACCTCAAGAAAGTTTTCAAAAACTTCTGTACTGTGTGGTTTTTAATACGTTGCACATCTCATTTTTCCAGAGAGACTTCTAGCTGTGAGCCCCATCTGCTGCTCCCTTTGGATGTTTTCCTTGCATGTACATGCATACACATCTGGGTCTGTCTATGTGTGATTGTATTATATGTGTTAGTTACTGCATTATGGCAATTAGCAATGAACTTCCTCACCTCAGAAACAGGGCAAACACATTCTATACAATCCAACTTTAATTGATTCTAAAAGAAGGATGATTCTGCACGTGATCTCATTGTGTCACAAATCATGGACAATGGGCCACCTTAACTGAGAATTAGGTAAAATGAGTTTTTTTCTTTTAAAATGCAGTATTTAGATGGATTTTCTTTTACAAACGATTTCCAATTGGTTTGTGTATAGGGCTCTTTTCTTTATCTTGCAATAGTCATATTAACATGGAAAGATGGCCTTCGGAAAAATCTTTATCAATTAATATTGAGAGCTAACCATGAAAGTCATAACATCAGATGACTCAGAGTGGAAATATGTTATAACTTTGAGGCAATTTTTATTGAATCAGCTCATTGATTTATTTCTGGGCTAATATTGTCTTATTAGGGTTTCTTTGAAATTGAGAAACGAGCAGATTGGTCAACATTCGATGAGCACTGTAGGTAAGTATTCTAACAATTCTGTTCTAGAACTTTAGATTGGCTGCCTTTTTAAATGTTTTTATCCGTTCCTACTGTCTCTATGTTTCAGCCTACTTGTATTCAATCTGGTTCAGGACTGCCAATTCTATGTGGTTCACTTTTTTTAAGTTCTTATTCTTTAATTAAGTTGGATCGATTTCTTAGATGTCCCTTCTGTTATAGACATCAAAATAATTCAAGTGTCAAAAGAAAACGGAGTCTTCAGAATAAATTGTACATGAATGTGCTAGTTGCAGATGACTTGGGAGCCAATAATGATTGTCTATCAGCACTCATTCTTGTGTTGATTATACATGTCAGAGGCATAACTGTCCTTTGGCATATAGTAGCTGGGATTGGGGGTTATTGGGAGATCGGAAGTATGGGAACATAACAGGCTAGAGGATCCCTATAATAGGGAGCACCGTCCTTACAATGCTTATTATTGGGATCTCAATCCCAACCGTGCTATACAATATAGTCTATAATATATACTATAAATAACTGCTATACTATACACAATATACAATTATGCTATGATCTACTACTATAATTTATGTATATACTATATTATACTATAAATACCATAATATTCTAAGTTTCTCTTTTTCATTCATCTTTGGCACATGATTTATGATAGGAGGCGACAACATATTTTGCAAATCATAAGTATAATTTCATGTTTATTTTTGGGTAAAATAAGTTCTCTTTATTTGTTCTGTAAAATGTGCATTCATGAGAGGGCTTTGGATGTTGTAACCTTTGACAAACACTTTGAGATTGAAGATCTGAGAATGGAATATCATTAATGGGGAAGTGGTTGTGAAGGCTGGTCAAGAATGGTGGTAGTCTTTGGACCATGGTGGTCAAAGTGAGGTATGGGTTTTCAAGGTTTGGGTGGAAGACTAGAAGGATGAGGCCATCAGTGAGAGTGTCTGGAGCATGAAGAAGGGGCGTGAAGTAAAACTCTCTCTTGCCTCATCAGATTTGGGGTTGGAGACAGTTGGTTCATCAGCTTTTGGCATGACAATTGGTATGGAAATGTTCTCTTAGGGTGTTTTTTTCCCAATCTCCTTGGATTTGTACTAAATCCACTGGTAGCATGTGTGAATTTTTATGAATGGAACTCCAGTATGGTGACTTGGTGCCTGAAGTTTCACCGGTTCAAAGATGACATTGAGATCACAGAGTTGGGCGATATTTTGAGAGCTTTGAAGGATGATATCAGTGAATAAAATTATTTTCAACTTGGGAAACCTGTCTGGTCAACTCAAGTCATCCTTTTGTTGCTTTTTATGGATGAACTTAAATGTGCTCTTAAGTTTATGCATATCTAATATTTTAAGTGTTATTTTATCATCGGAATGTCACCTAGAAAGTGGTAGCATGTGTTATAATTTGATGACAAGCCATTTGCAAACCCCATCATGGATAGCATTGCTTTTTATTCCTAGTCACTGGAAAGTTGAAAAACTTGCCCAAATTTCTATGGGAACTGTTCAACTTGGTGATCAACTCGGTTTTGGCAGGGACCAAGTTGACCAACGATTTCAAATTTCTAATGACCAATTTGTGTTCCGATGAGGGGGGATATTGAGATGCTCCGGTCACTGGAGACTGGAGGTGCATTCTCAGTTAAATCTTTTTATCGTGGCATTACAGCTGGCACCGGTGTATTGGCAATACATCGGGTACTTGAAGCATCCCTGCACTGTACAACATCGTCATGTTTGGGTTTTTGTCATATCTGGTTATGACCTTGAAATTTGATTGTCTTAGCCTCTAGGGCATGGGATTTCCGGATATGCATATTTTGTGTAGGAATTGGAGGAATCTGTGGATCATTTACTTCACTGTGATTTTTGTAATATATAATTGAGGGTTTGTGTTGGAGATTTTTGGTTTTGAATGGGCCATCAGGGTTCTCACGTTTTTCTCAAGATGGTCTTCTTGATTTTATCAATGAGAGAAGTTAGTTCATATGGTGGCTCTGAATGCTCTTTGTTCATTGTGTACCTAGATGGTTGGTCACTTGATTAGCCGGTGCTGAGTATGATAGTGGTTCTCCTTTGCAATGCAGAGCGCTCAATGATTATATCGTACGCAGAGGGAATGGGATGTTATGACTCTTCCATGGCAGAATTTTAGGCACTTCTTGTCAGTGTGAGACTTGCCCTGCTGGAATGTATGGCAGTGTTGGAAGGGCATTACCTAAATGTGATCCAGTAGTTATGAAAGGAAAACAGATCCTGTGGAGACTGTTAAAATGAGATACATGGTCAAAGGGCTACCTTTTGTCATGTTTTAGGAGAGTCCAACTCGGTGGCCGGTCTATTAGATAATGATTGGATTAGTCATATGAGCTTTTATGTAGAGACTATACTAAGGTTTGATGCCTTCCCCAGATCTGTGCACCGTGATTGTACTTTTCAAGGTTTCTTCAACAAAACTTGTTACTGATCAAAAAATACTATCATCATGTTTCGCTGCTGGAAAATATCCTTGTATTGGGAGGAATGGAAGATTTCTCATACTTGGGACTGATATATACCAAAATTTTGTTTGGGTTTATGGCCTTTAAAGCCCATAAGAGCATGTAAATATAATAAATACAGTGTACAATATAATAAATATAGTGAATTGTACACTTTAGTGGGTGTATGATTAGTTGACTAACCCAGGGTTAGGCAGTCTATAGCCGGGGTCATGTCCAAAACCTTTTCTATTGAGCATATGTTAAAGGTTTCTAGAAGGTCATCTTTGTTGAGGTTGGATAGATGCCCAAGGATGGTTGGTAGGCCAAGAGAACTCCGTGGTCTCCTGTGTGCGGTTGTAAGCTTGTGAGAGTAAGGGCCATAAATCCCTAATAGATTTTCGCAAGGAATGTACACACAACAACCACATTCTTGGAAGCAACCCTGTAGAGATGTACATGTATATGTGAGAGAATCCCCCTTCCACTATAATGATACGTGTATCTGACTTGCTCTTGTGGCGGGTGGGGGCCCTGTAATCCACATATTGAAATCGTGGTTCCAATATTTATTGGCCAGCTTTGATGGGCCAATCACGAGCCTCTACGGATTACTTTGGGTCATGGTCCTATTGGGTTGGTTTGGGAAGTTAGTAATGGATCACAGTTTCTGACTTGGGTGGACTGCTCTGATGGTTATTTTTCTTGACCCATTAGTACCGATCAACTTCTAGATGTATTTCTAAGTATTATTTAGAAATGTTTTGGTACCTCAGTACTATTTTTTTCAGCTTTAACTGTGATTATGTAATTTTTTTAGAAATTTTTAGAATTTTCTTTAAAAAATTGTTTTATGCTATAAAAACCTAGAAATGGAAAAATTGATATTTTACGATTTAGTGAGGGCCTGGTTTTGAGTGGGATCAACATTGGGGTGGCTGTGGGGGGGTAGGCACATGCTCAGTTGCCCCATGTGGGTAGGCCACATAGGGGTGTGACATGGGGCCTACAAGGGCCACATGTCTCACACACAAAGTGAGATGCCCCTATTATATTCAAAATATTTATTAAAATGTTAAAAGTATTATTTATTTTAAGGGGTCCTGATTGTACTAGGAGTCTTGTTTGGATTAGGATTCCTATTCCTACGTGCACTAGGTTTCCCACTTAGATTAGAATTTGCATTACAATATTATTTATTTTGAGGAGTCCTAATTGTCTTGTTTGGATTAGAATTCCTATTTGGACTAGGGCTCCTACTTAAATCAGAATTCATATTAAAATATTATTTATTGTAAGGAATCCTTATTATATTAGTAGTCCTCTTTAGATTAGGATTCCTACTTGGACTAAGACTCTTACTTAAATCAGAATTGAAATTAAAATAGAAGTCTCATTAGAAGCAGATATGGGTTAAAGACTTAGGGGATAAGGTTCCTAAAAATTCCTCACTAAATCATAATAGTTGTTTTTGGGATGGATGGCTCAGATTTATTTTTCTCTCACCTCACAGATTTTCAGGAATTCTATTGGTTAAATTGAAGTCTAGTTAAGACAAGTATTTCCTAGACCTCTTGAAAACTATAAATTAGGGGGTCACCCCTTATTTCATCAATTCAATTTGGTAGCCTCTCTATATCTCTCCTCTCCACATCTCATCTTTCTCTATATATATATATTTTTTTTGAAGTTCTCAGCTTTCTCTATAATTTCTCTCATCTCTCTTCCTTAGAGGGTAGCACGCACCATCCAAGGATTCTTAGGCTGGTACGCAACCCTAGCCCTCGAGAAAGGAGCACACCCAGCCTAGGTTGTAGCATGGTGGTGTTACTTAGTGGCATACCCTAAGAGTTTTCAGAAAAACCCTAGACCCAATTCATGCTCTCATACCCCAATTCTTTAAAGGGCTTTGCCTGAGGAGCTTCACAATATATAGAATTCAGCATGACCAAAGGTTCAAGAACTGCACCATAGGTGTGGTAATTGGGTTTGGGGTGTACTAAGTTCTAAAGGGGTGACCTTAGTTGAAGTAAGTCTTCCCTGTCTAATTTATTTATTTTCAGATTAGAAATTCTAGATTTATATTTATTTATAGAAATTCTATTTGTATTAGAATGCAATTTCAGAAGTTTGAATTCAACCTTTTTTTAATAAATTTTATTTTGGCATTAAAAGCAAAAGATCCTAGATTGTAGTAGGTTTACTTTTTATTTCTACGATATATTGTGGCAATTGTAAGTAGAAATTCTAGTTATTAATAAAAAAAGTTTTGAATTTATACTTTGGAATTCTACATAGCCACAACTTTCATTGGTATTAGAACAAGTCCTTTTACTACCATAGTTTAAGCAATTTTTTTTTTTTCTTGAGTCAAGAACATGGCAGCCAAGGGCTTTATGGCTGCACTTTTAAAAACTGAAGCTTCGATGGAAAGAACTATGCGAGTTGGAAAGAAGGATAGGCTAAGTCCTCTTTGAGGAAGGGCTCAGTTAGTTGCTCATAGAAAACCCCCCACTTGAACCAAGAGGAAATGCTTATAAGAGGCAAGCAATAAGGGATGCTTATGCTTAGTGGGAGCGTAAAAACATCATGACTAAGAATCTCCTTCTGATGGCTATGGATGACTCCCACGCTCTTGAGTATGAGACCTTAAAAACTACAAAAAGATATCCACCAAAAATTCGAAAAGGATTGCGCTACTCCTTCCCTCACCAGAAAGCCTCTTTCTATGAAATAGTACTCTGACTTAAAAATGAAAGGAGTAAAGTTGGCCGAGCACATCCAAACTTTCAAATTGCTGATTCGAGAACTTGAGGTTGTCCAAATAAAGCCAGATGAGAATATGCAAGTTTTCCATCTACTCAAACACCGACTTCTTGGGAAGCTTTCAACTCAGCCGTCACTGCGTAGGAGAGCACACCAAAGCTGGATGAGATCATCACCTCGCTTAAAGCAGAAGAAGATCGAAGGACAACCCATGATACTGCAGCCTTCGATGACTTCATGAACACGGTAAATCTAAAACCCAACTCTGGTTCATTCAAGAAAAAGAAGGGAAAGGCAAGAGCAAAAATAAGAGAAATGATAATCAAAAGGGGAATAGTGGACCTAAAAAAAGAAGTAGTTAAAGAACACCCAGTGTTGTAATTGCAAACAGTTTGGTCACAACTAAATATTGCAAAGTACTGATGGATGTGACTCCCAAAGGTGATAGGGAGCATACTTGTGGTTGTTGAGACTATGCTAGCTGACCCTAAGGAGGGATCATTGTGTTTTCACTCGGGGTCCACTGTCCATATCTCACACCGAGGATGGCTTTAGAAACTTTAAGCCTGTTGTCCCAAGGGATCAGCATATCTTCATAAGAGGTAATTAGAAGACCAAAATATTGGGTATTGGTGATTGTGCCCTTCAGTTAGAGATTGGAAATAGCATGATCTTAAAGCAAACTCTTAATGCTCCAGACATGAGAAAGAGTTTGGTATTGGTCTCTAGATTGGCTAAGGCAACATATTTTATTGACAATATAGTGGAAGTAAAATTGGGCAAGAAATAGTAATGGCTGATCTTCTTCTACATGGTTTCTATTCAGTAGCCTATTTGCTATGACTCATGTTGTAATGATGTTGATGATTCATATGCCATATGTGATTGGGGCATATTAATCACAAGTGAATGGAGAGATCAAAGAGAGAGGGGTTATAATTAGGGGTAAAATTGTCATCATAAATTTGTGATTAACTTAGGAATTTGGGCTCATTTTATGATTGTATGGGCATTTAATGTCCTTGAACAACTAATAAACATTATTTAAGAGTTGCGCGGGGCCCTTGAGTGGTCATTCACATGACTTGTTTGAAAAGACAGAAGCTTTTTTGCTGTGGTGTACCCTGGTGTAAGAGAACTTCAGACCACTTCAAGGGATTGCCTATGTTTCCCTGAATTGTTGATGTTTTTCTGTTCTCATTCCATTTCCCTACATTAATGCAGTTTGTTGCTCATGAATGTTTGACCTGGCCAGATGAATAAGCATTGATATATTAGTCAAGTCTGGAGAGCTTGTACCAGTCGTCATATTGGCAAGGTTTCAGAAAACGCTAAGTGGCCTGCCTGGCCCTCAGCGCCTAGTCGGGTGCCCAGAACCTTTGGCGGCCCGTAGTTTTTTTCACTTTGGGGGTCTTCACATATTGAGGGTTTTTTTTTTTTTTTTCACTTTGGGGTTGAAAATAAACCCCATAACGTTTTTATACAACCTTAGGGGTCAAAATGACCCCTTTTACCCTTTTGGGCGATTTTAAAAAATGAAAAAGGCCTTACGGCCCTGGGCACCTGCCTAGCCTGCCTGGACACCCGCTTAGGTACATCCGCCCTTGTAGGGCCGCCTGGGTCTAGGCATGCGGATTTTTGGTCTAGGCTGCCTAGGCGCCAGGCGGACCGCTTTTTAAAACATTGCATATTGGAGAGCTACTCATTGTCATTATTAATCTTTTCACCATATTTTATTTCGGATTTCACCATTTTAGTGGTCCTGTGGTTTGGCACATTAACAATCCATTTATAAATTTGGATATATTAAGCACAGCGATCTCATTTAGTATAGTGTTTATAACTTGACAGTGATAATCTGTCGAAAACACCTAATGATGATCTGATTCTCATCTATTTGTTAATTATTTTCTGCAGAATGAATGGCCTGAAGTATCCTTTTCTAGTGAAACGTCTTGCCTGTATGGTATTATCTGGAGCAGAACCTGCAGACTGCCTTGACATACTGCAGCCAGCCAGTTTGTCCCCAGGCATGATTGCCAGGGTAAATACTTCACATGTTCTTGAGTGCCTCAGCTATGAACAATTTCTGTGCACTTGGAAAAGAGTATATATATTGTTGAAAGCATGTTTAAATGAATCAGTGCCAATGGTAGTTTTGAGCAATTAATGAGAATCTTTCCACAATTGAAAACAAGGAGAATTGCTTCCTTCATGTCAACAAAAACATCATCATACATTATCAAAAATAAATAAAAAACCCATCATTTTTTTAAGTATTGTTTACAACATGCATGTTTCCATTCTCTTATACACATATCTGTGGTGCTACTTATCTGTTTGATAGATGGAAGAGGAATTTGAATTGTTGAGATGCACTTTCATGGAAGCAGGGTTCAAGGACGAAAAGATAGCCAGTATCCTTAATTCCACAATATTTGATCTGTTTTGTCCTAAAATCCTTTTTTTGCTTATTCCTAGCAGCCTCTTTTTGCTTGTTTACAACTTTGACATGCCAAGTTCTCACTAAGCAGTGGTATGTTGGTGTTTTGGCACGGATTCGTATTAATGCATTTCGCATAGAACTGGCTGGAGGAATTTCCGGAGATCTTCTTTCCATGGCCGCAGCCTCTGTTTTGGCTGAAGCAGCAGTGGGCAATGCAGTCTATATTTTGCCATCCTTCTACAATCATGATTGTGGTATTCCCATGCTTCCTATCCTCATTTATTGCCTTCTATTTCCAGCTGACCTCTGGGTAAGCCAATATAATGTTATGTTTTGGTTAATAATTTAAAGGTTCCTCTAAAGATATTGTTGGAGTTACATATATTTATATACACTTGAAGATGACAGCAATAATTGAGGTTAAAGCTCAGCGAAATTGATTACTTTCTGTGGATCACTCTTTGTCCATAGTGGTGGATTAGAATAGTAGGATTTATTAATATAAAACATGAGGCTGGTTAACATTCTCTAAAAATTGATGCCTTGACTGCATGCAGGAAGATCATTGAGATATGTTGTTATGCATGTGTATGTATGCTTTTGGGATCATTTGTGTGGGCATTTAAGAGTAAGAGTAGTTATACTTTTAACTATAGTTCTATAGCATTGTAGTATACAATTCTCATTGAACGATTTATTATATCAGAATTTTTCCTTGAAGTTTAGCACTGGTATCAGATATCTAAAATGAAATCGAGTTTACAGAAAATTTATTATAATGGAATTGTGAAATCATGGCAGTGAGGAAAATAATATTGGGCAGCAGAATTCTCATAATGTTTTCACATTGCCAGAGAAAAGCTGCTAGAATCTGATTATTATTATTAGTAGTATTTATGGATGATGATAGCTGGTAGATGTCATCTGATGAATAACCTGTTACATGTTACAAAAGTTATGGTCGGAAGTGAGTGTCATTAACTTAGAGGTAGATTATGGTACATTTGATAATTAGAGCCGACCCCTAATAGTTGGTTCAAGGCTCTGATGATGATGATTTGTAATTTGATAATTAATGGTTTCATTTAATTTGGATTCTATGCATCAGGTCTTGCAATTGCACATACAAGCAGGTGCATGCAACAATTGACTAGAGAGAGAAAGTGACAGGGTAGGATGGGGGTTGGGGTGAGAGAAAAGGATAGAGAGGGGAAGGAATTTCCAGTCCTTCCTTGTTAATGTCATCAACATCTCCCATAGCTAGCCTTTTTTGCACTTGTCAAAATGAGCAAGCAATGGAGTCACCTAATTGAAACAATTAAGTTTTGGAACTGAAAATATGATTTGTCACGGGAAGATGAGCGATTATCCTTCACTGGCTTTGTACAGCCATTCAATTTTGTTGTTCAGTTGTGCTAGTTATGATAACCATGTCTTGTATTTTTTCTTCTTTTTTGTTTGGTGGGGGGGGGGGGGAAGGGTAGATCAGTGATAGGAATCGATCTTGAGATGTAGCATTGCTTGATGTCAATTGCTAATCACGCAAGCCCAAGTCCGATTCCTACTATGTCGTGTATTTAGTCATTGCATTTGATATTTGGTCTAAGAAGGGTGAGGATGTTAAACTTTTCCCTAACCTGTCCAAAGCTCAAGTAAAGGAAGCTGGTTGTGTTAGGTAGACAGGCAATGTAAAACTTTGCTAAAACTTATCATGAATTCTGAACATACATTATCTGCTTATTCTAGCGCATTCCCTGTAAGTGACAAGGGTACGGCCCTTGATAGAGCAGAATGGTGGACCAGGATTCTTGTAGCCGACCCCAAATAGTTGGGAAAGGGCTTTGAGGATGATGATGAACTGCAAATATGATTTCTAGTATGTTTAGTTTTGGGATGGGTTTTTGACAAATGATTTTGACTTTTTAAGCAAATGTTTTTTGCAAAAATACCAAACATAAACATACCCATCTTTAAATTTGTTTCCTTTTTTTTTATTTTTTCCCCATTGGATTACCCTAAGTCGGGCAATCCGGAATCACCATTCTGTATCGATTTAGTGGGGACTGAGCAGGTCCCGATTCCATTTTTCTGAGCATTCTTTAAAACCATAAATGCTAGTTTCCCTTCAAAAGAGATAGAAACTCAGATGAATAAAGGAGATGAAAAGCAGAGGTTAGGTGGCCTAGTAGTTATGTGTGCAGTGGCTGGAGTCCATCACCGAAGTAAAAGCAATGAAGGAGAGCTGATCACCTAGATCGGGAAGTGGAGGGAAGGAGACTCAGCTGGCTGAGTGTACCTACATCGTATTCAGAAGCTGTACAAGTTGGTCAACCTTCTGTTCTATGTTGCTGTCTAGTCTCATGTGGCTACCAGACTGGCAGAGGCTGAGGAGAGGTGATAGATACTTTACCATGAAAGACTTGGCAGTTAGTTTTGGTAGTTCGTTGTCAATTGCAATGACAACAACATGGATGGTAAGAGCCAGAACTTCATCCACCAGGTCCTGTTCTGCTAGTGTCAGCAAAAGGTGGCGCAACTCCTATAGGCTGCCACTGGTGTTGGATTGTCTTGAATATTAATATTTGAAGCATGGTGTTGCTCCTTGTCTCATTCGTTGTAGATATTGTGAAATTTGGAGAAGTCAGCCTTGCCTTGGCAATGACTTGGCTTATCGCTTTGACTTTATCAAGTTCACCATGTATACCATGACTATCTTAGCTGCCATACACTAGTTCCTCTTCTTTAATGCCTCTGCACAAGTGGACAAGGAGGTACATAAATTGATCTCTTCTTCCCACCTACAGCCCAGAGCCTCACGATGCTCTTCAAGTTTATCTTTCCTTGTCGATAATGTGAGATGTCTCTCAGTTGCAATTATTCTTGCCACATTGTTCTTCTAGGAATGTTCCCATTGACTGATTCATTGAATGGCATAGGTGATTTTAGGAATTACATTTGGTCTTTAAGCTGCTATATAAGGAGTTGAGAAGCCATGCCACTAACCAGTCTGGTTACTTGGTTCGATGAGCCCAGAGCGTATGTAATCCTATCAAAGTGACCTATCTCTTATGTTCTAGAAAGCACAATTTTTATTGAATGTGGCCATGCAGCAATACCAAGTAGTTATTCCTATTCAGCTCAACAATCGCGCTGCAAACATTGGAATCCTCATATTGAATAATCTGATGTTCCCACCTCGGCGTTGACTGAGATCATGAAGCAAGGGAAAGGCAGAAATTTTTTTCGTTCAAATTGACCTTGATAACAGAAAACAATAAAACAAAAATGCTAAAAAACCCTGAAATGAAAAAAATAAATAAAAATAAAAAAACTCACTCAAATATCAAAGAAATAGGTCCTCAAGTGGTGTACAGTGTAGGTTGAACAGACTTGTAATGGATACCGCATTTGTGGAGATCTAAAACATATGAAAGAATAACACGAAATGGGACTCACACCCAACCAAATATGAAAAAACCAGATTTCTTTTGATCCTTTTAGTCTCAGGCATTGAAACTTCAGAGGTAGTCTTATGCGTTTGGAGAACCTGTCAGAATAGAGATTCTCCAATGTCTGGATTGTCCTAATCCATGCCAAAAAGCCTCCTTTGACTCGAGGAACTTCATTCTGATTGCAAAACCCCTAACATGGATGCCTAGAACTTAAGTCATTGATTTTGAGGGAACCCTCAACTAAGTTGGGATGTCACAATTGTCTGTGTGATTGACATCAATAATTTGTATGGATGATGTCAGCTCTAGATTATTCTGCAAAAGTTCTTTGGAAGAACAAGGATATCTATCCTTTCAAAACTGAGAAACCGAGGAATAGGTCAGAACTGATGAATAGAAACAACGATATGTGACTGCATCAAGGTCTATGAAAATGACATCCAGTTGTACGATCACAATGTTTTCAACATCTTTATCTGCTTCCTTGAGATCTGTGAGATAAATGTTGATATCTTAAATTGGTATCATGTGACAGTCATGCATGATGTTCCAAGTAGGCGTACAATGAGATATGGTGCAGGACTTGGAAATTATTCTACCCTCTTTTCTGATCCTTGAACAAGCGAAAATCAGCAACTAAAGGAGAGCCTAGATAGTAGGAAACACCCATGTCCAAAATATAAAATAGAATTCCTTTCTAGTCCTCTTAAGCCAATATGCTCCAAATTAATCATTGATAAATAAAAAATTTCAAGCTCTCTCCCTATTATAAGAGAGAATAGAATTAAAATTTTGAATTAACCGTCATTTGCATCAGAATATGAAACTTAGCATTACCAATCATAAAGAACCTTATTGTGTGCATGGTAACTGTGTTTTTCTTAATATGTTTGTATAACTACTAATGTGATTATCATATGGGGCAACTAAAAGTATAAAAAACTCCCAATAAAAATCAAATATAATACAATAATGGTGGCCAAAATACCCCTTACAACAGTAGAACAACAGCATTGTGTCTTACATAGTGTAAAAAGCTTAAATGAAACATACATAAGAGGACTTATGTGCTGCACCTATTTATTATATTCTATGTCTACTTTGTGATCTATGTTAAATTTCAAGAATGTGATTTAGGTGTCCAATTGCCCACACATTTACAACTGAAAATATGAATGCACTTTTGTCCTACTTGTTATTTATTTATCTCTGTTTCAATATTATTTAACAATTGGCGACTGCAATGAAATATTTCCTTGCAGATCCAAATGTTCATATCCTGTGGTTGGAAGATGTAAATGCAAGGTTAAAAGCCCTCCGAGATATTGAAGCAGGTCAATACTTAATACATTGTTGTCTTATTTTGACTATTTCGTATAATACTTGCTTTGTCTTAAATGTGTTATGATCAGTAGGAATTATTTTCGATGGCCATTATTGCTTTACTTTTTACAATATCAAAGCCAGAATGCATTGAGCTATTCTTATGAAATGGTTTATCTGAAACTGATGTAGTATTCGGAGTTGTTATTTCCATTATTTAAAATTCATGCTTCTTGAGCAAGTATAATTGGAAACAGTATTGTAGAATATGCACTCAGGACGTACAAGGGGTGCTATGAGTATGGTACCTTTGAAGTTGATTGGACGTAAAATGCAAGAACTGTATATAAAAGAGAGTTTTTGGTGGTCAGACATCAAAACTGTTGTTTCCTTACACCTCTCCACTGTCTATTCAATGGACTCTGGAGATTGAAATTGTGGAGAGACTGCTAAAAATAAGAAAGAAAAATACTCCAGTTACTAACCAGTAAATCTAATACCAAAGAGGTGCCTGGTCATCATAGTTCGAATTCTCTTTCTCTCTCTCTACCTTGTCATACCTACCTCAACTAGCTAATCTAATACCAATAAAGAACTTGATTATGATACTTTGACCTCTCTCTCTCACATTATAGTTCGAATTCTCTCTCTCTCTTCCTTGTTATGTCTACCTCAACTGGCTAATATAATACCAAAAGAAGAACTTGATCATGATAATTTGACCACCCCCCCTCCCCCTCCTCTCTCTCTCTCTCTCTCTCTCTCCAGTTACTAACCATTGAATCTAATACCAAAGAGGTGCCTGGTGATCATAGTTTGAATTCTCTCTCTCCCTCCCTCCCTCCCTCCTCTCTCTCTCACTCTTCCTTGTCATGTTTACCTCAACGGGCTAATCTAATACCAATAAAGAACTTGATCATAATACCTTTCTCTCTGCTCCAAATTACTCTCTCAGCTTATGAGGAGCTGTCGCCCAGCACACCCTCCCATTTTCTCTCCTATTCACCCACCCCTTTAAAGGTGCAGCTGTGTCTATCTCTGCTCTATGAACTCTTTTTGAAGGTGCGAGGAACTTCATGCCACTTTCTTCATCCATATTTCTCTCATTCCTATATACACACACACACACCCCCCCCCCCCAAACTCTCAATCTCAATCTCTGCACACTCACATACTCGTCCCACACACATGTAGATGGTCTCTTTCCCATAAAACACATTGGAAAATTTCCTATCATCTTTGATTCACATTGTGAGCAATAAAAAAATGATTTTGAGCTCTTAAAATTCTAGATTTGATTGTCCCTGAAATAAATACTTCAAAGTCTTATTGCTGAGGGGGAAATGAATTGGAGCAATTTTTGAGCTTCAAATCATTTTCTTTTTAACTGATCTGTGGGGTTTGTAAAAATCTACCCTACGTTTTCGAGTGGAGAAACGGGTGGTGGGTTTTCTTTCTAATGTTGTTTTTCTTCCTCTTTTCTTGCTTAGATAGAGCACATTATGGAAATCTCAAATATTATTTGTGTAATTTGTCATATTTAAATTTGTGTGCAACTTCTAGCGGGTTGATATGCTAGTAAATTTTTATTTACTTGTCCCTAATTTTGTGTGCCCCTATGGTTGCTTAGATATATCTCTGTGGGAAAACTTCAGAATTTTTAGTCTGTTGGCCTTGTTAAATTTCAATATGATCTTCAGTTGTCTCATATGCTATTAAAAATCTCATATGCTATTAAAAATCGCGTTGCTTTTGCTTGACTTTTACTTTCCACTGTCGAATTTTATTTCTTGCTTCAATATCTCTCTTGCATTGGATCAATTTTGCTGGTTTTGTTTCGATATTGTTCCACTTTCTTATTTGATGTGTAATTGTTTAGAAGTCTAGTGATAGTGATTCTATTCGGCATTTTAAAAGGCAGGCTGAGGTGGCACATGGGTGTCCTTTCAAGGCAGGACAAAACCAATTCACTCCACCTATGCGAAGTTGTCCACCTTAGGCAAGCTAGCTTGAGGTAGGCATAAACACTTCTTTTAGAAAACCTAGATTTGGAAGGTATGAATAACTTTTTCAAGGTTGGAAGATAATGTTTTGCAAGAAATCACACCCAATCCAACTTATATAGTTTTGATAATTTGTGGAACTTCAAGTGAGGCTAGAAAAGGAGTATACTCATTGGTTTGCCCCAAAAACTTCATTTTTTTCATGATTGGGTTTAAAAGAAGTTTTGTTATTTATCGAAGTTTTATTGTATTTTACGTTTTTAGAAATGCATCAGATTATAGAATCATGGGGATCCAGTTTGGGTTTATGTTTCTTTACGAAACAAATTTCAGAAATAAGGTTTTTTTTGGGTAATTTTGTAAACAAGTTTCAAATGGAGGTATGTCTTGATTGAAGCAACACCTTGCCTGCATTAAGGGACTTATCACCTTAAGCAAGGATGTCTCTGCATTGGTTAAAAGGGATTCGGTGCGATCTACAACAAGAACCTGACCCATGCTTACACATTGACCTGACCTATGTGAAACTGCAAGTTCTAGAATCAGAGAGATGTTTCATCATCTCCTGTAAGGGTTAACTTTTATCATATAAATCCCAGATAAATGACTAAATTATTTTGATTGGTGAAAAATGACTAAATTATCCCTTATGTGCAAATGCATAATTTAGATCACGAATATATCATACATGCTTAAATTGTTAATAGAAACAAGGGTAATTTTTGGAATTGCATTTGTTGAGAAAAGATATGGGGACTTTTGGCCTCACTGAGGGTATAGCTCTTGATAGAGCAGAACGGCGGACAAGGATTTGTGTAGCTGACCCCAATTAGTTGAGAAAAGGCTTTGATGATGATGATGTGTTATTCTTTTTGCATTCTTATTTAAAACCAATAACTTTAGTAGCCAAATATTCTCAGTATGCAGATGATAAAGGCTTTCTGCCAAAGACTTGACATCGACAATCATGCCTACCATTGCAAAATCCTCGGCTTTTTGTGGATAGTAGAGTTAGAGATAATATGAGATGTATGAAAATTGCATTTACACAATAATTTCAAGACCTGTAAATAAGACAAGAACATTTGAAAAATAGATCAAATAATTATGGGAAGACTTACTAGACTTTTGCCTAGGGTTACTCACATAGTGCTTAGCATGCCCCACACCCGATCACCTGACCAATGGTGTCCTTGATCCTGAAACCTGCTGAATCCACTAATTTGAAATGGAAAGCGCCTCTGGGACATACTGGTCTAAAACTTATGGGGCAAGAGAGCTAGGATTACAATTAGAGTTTCACAAAGAACCCTTTTTCAACCTTGGGGCATATGCCAGAAAAATATGGCACCTCCCCTAGCCTTTAGCTGAGGGCTGGGCATGCCCCTTTCTTCTCTCTCTTCTTGGTAGGTGCATATGCTACCCCAGCACTTAAGCAGGGTGGCATGCAACCTTATATATATATATATATATATACATATATATGGGAATGGATTCTGTCAGCCCACAGGCTGACTGCTACAGTGTCAGCCAACGACCCAAATTGAATATGGTTCGATCTGACAGTTATGATCTAATTTCATATTTCAGTTTTAATTTTATTTTTTCTACAAATCCAAATCATGTGAAATTTCAGACCTTCGTTCTTCTCATCAAGGCGCACCTAATAAAAATCTATAAAAAATAATTCGCAATATATAAATTGACCAAAATACCCCTAAAAAGTTTCAGGGGTATTTTGGTCAATTTATATTTTGCAAATTATTTTTTTCATATTTTCATTAGAGTATCCTATTTTTGAAGTATAGACACTCCAAATTTCAAGTGATTTGGATTTGTTGACAATAAGATAAAAATTCAAATACAAAATGAGGTCGTAACCATTGGATCGGGCCCAGATTCAATCTGGGCCGTTGGTTAACACTATAGCAGTCATCCCATGGGCTGACATGATCCTTTCCCTATATATATATATATATATATATATATATATATA